GAAGACTATCTACGTAGCACACCATCCCGTATGCATGGTCACCAACAACATTGGGAACAAGTGCTTCATAGTGGACGGGATGAATCTTATCCATTTTCTCTCAATGCTCCATCTCTTGCCGCTCCTGTCGCACTACCACCACCAAGTGGTTGCGACAGCCTAACACAAACAAACTTCCTCCCCTCCCATGCTAAAAAGGTATATGTACAAATCAAAAGGCTTTTTCCCCTTCCAACACCAACGCTGGACAAGACACGTCATGCGTGTTAAGCAGATATACAAAAAAAGAAGAAGCTCAAACTAACGAAACCCGGAACAGGCGAACTCCGGTCTGGGCCCAAAGGTTTATACAGGTATGAACAAAGGAAAACGTCGCAGTGACGGTATCAAGCGTACAGCTCAGCTGCACGGTATGTGTTGGGTGAGTGTGGGCAAAATGGAAACTTGCATCCGACGTTTGCTTGGATTGGGATGCGCATCCTGGCCGCCACAGTTGTCTTGTGTAGCTCGGTGAATTGCAATTCCGCCGTGTCGTCGTTGTTTCAAAAATACGGCCGGAGACTATGACAGAACCGTTGGGGTCGGTTGTCCTTTTGTCTAGTACTCGGTCCAATGACACTTGTCGCCGACCTTTTCAAACTCCAGACTCCGGTTCATCCGTCGCCTGGCGCGCTCTTCGCGGCCAAGGCAGGAGAAGAGTCGCGCAAGACCGCTGCGCTTTCGGGGCTCGAGGCCCGCGTAGGGGTTCTCCTTGCTCATCGAGCTGGTGGTTGAGATTGGACTTAGAGGAATCGTGGCGTCGGCGAAGATGTCGACTCTCTTTGGTGTTTGCTTCTCCGATGTGCTCGAGTATGGCGACGATGTTTGCGACACTGACGGAGTAAAGGATGTGTCGAGTGGAGACAAGAGTTCCATCTGGCGGTTGGCTCGTGGAGAGCTGGGAAGACCGCTGGGCGAGAGTTGAGGGTAGGAAGACATGGCGATGGAAGTAAAAGAAAGTTTAATGATTTGTTGTTGCAAAAGTGTGTGTGTATGTGTGTGTGCGTGCGTGCGCGTGCGTGTGCGTATGTGCCTGAAAGGAAAGAGTGTCTGAATATATGTATGTATACAATTGAAACCGGGGCTTAATCGGCCGTTGGAAGAATCAAAATCAAGCCGTTGTTGGAGAACGTTGTTTGAACAGTAAAGCAACCAAGGGGGGCAATATGTGTTTATGCCGATCAAGCACCTACCGCGTCCGCCGCGCAATTCCATCTCAGCCAGGGGGGCTGTTGCATGGTCTCTCTACGCCATGGTTCAGCGCCAGGGGGGCGCGGGGGTTCGAATATCCGCGATTAGAGTTTACGTCCTTGGTCGCCGCACATGTGCCTCAAGACAATACAAATTATCCGCAGTCTCACACGTCTCTTGCTGTGTGCTATTTGTCTTGGTTTCGCGGCTCTTGTCCAGCCGTGGCCTTGTGGTCGCACAAGATACCAACAGCCGCGCTGCAAAGCGGCGTATAGGAAGGGCGAAGCTGTTGCAGCATCTTCTGAAACTACGCCATCTCCTTGTGGCAAGGCTAGCCCTTACTTGCTGGCTGCTAAGCACCAAACTGCCCCTGTACCCGTGAGAGTCAGTCGTAATGTTCCTGGCAAACGAGGCACCAGGGTCATCCCATTGGCCTCTTGCGTTTGTTTTTCGGTCCTGCACTCCTTGAAACGCCATCAACGTCGCATGAGTATTGGTGAGAAACAAAAAGACGGCCCGCTCGTCACGGGATAATTAGGGCCTTGCTGTATTTGCTGCCTTTGCCAAAAAGACCATATCTCCGCCCTTCATGCAAAGGGCGGCAGGATTCGTGTCTGTGCATGCTACACCACATCCAGCATTTTGCGCCTGACATCCAACTACTTGTGCATCTGTACATTCGCCACGTTTGTGACTATGGTGTCATGTGTCTCCTGTGTGAAATGGCCATTCAAATCCCAACACGACTTGGTCAGACAGATAGTCTCAATAGGTCCGTTTGTATCTCACCAATTGCTGACGGCGTCAGGCCCTGCACCGTAGTTAGTGCAAAATATCAGTCTTGTCTGCTCGCCTCAGCGCCTCCCTAAAATCCGGCAGTCTTCCGTTGAGCTTATCTTGAAAGGTGTGCCGCCGTGTTGACCGAGCGGGAGGTGTGCGATCTGGGCGGTCTTGGAGCGGGTCGCCGCATGAATGTCCAAATGAAGAAGCTTGCTTCGACAATGCCACCTACACGGTAGAAGAGAGATCCCATCGCCTGTCTTGAAACAAATTAGTAGACTCTGTGTTCAGGTTTAATAGCAGCCTTGTATGTGTGGCACTGCGGAAGCAATCGTGTCAAGTAAATTCGCAATTGAGCGCACTCAGTAACCATGTGTGTTGGTTAGCGGTTTTGCTCGTAGCAAACGCTGACTGGCGCGGCAACCTAACCCGTTGGTACCCTCCCCTTGTAGTTCGCACACGGAGACAAAAGTGCATGATGTTTTCCTCTGATCTCGAAATCCTGTAGAGAGAGAACACACATGAGATGAGTTCGAGATGATGGAGATATGTTGGTGATGTCACGCTCAGTTTCGCTGGGCCCACGCCAACACTGCTCCGCCCCGCCCAAAAATACAAGGCTAGACCAGGCTTAGAAATCATTTGTTTCATGCCATGAGAGAACTCTCGGTAAAGTCGCATAAATCAACATATCTCGTCGGTCTATTAGTCGGTGAATCTGTTGTATTTACAGTAAGTGACAAGCCTTACTGTGGAGAATGTGTACCATGTAGACATCTGCGTATGGGGATGATTGCGGGGGGCCAAGCCAAGCTGCCCGAGTCTACGTACCACCACAGACATCATCGCCATGATAAAAATAAGACTGGACCTCGAAACAAACAAACGCATTATGCATTGCCACAGCCCAGTGGCGTAGTTGGTAATGCGCAAGCTTTCGCATATCGCAACTTAAGTGTTCTGGTCAGATTTTCTAAATTTATACATCGAGCATACAGTTTGGTCATGCATATCGGCAGTTGAACAAACAGCATGATGCTGTACTAAGTAAGCCATCTCAGTAGTGGTCTTAGGATGGCCATTTCAAGTCTTTAAATTCCTTGCGGACAATATATTTCAATGACTATCAGGAGGTAAGGGTCGCTCGGGAGCTTCATTTACATAGTTAATCGTGTTACTCAAAACACGACATTAAGATTCTTTTTGACCACGTCTAAGAAACCGAAACAACAAAAGGCAGACGATGTCGCATTCGACGCAATAGAATTTGGTAAAAAGACTACATGGACAATTGAAGCGCTTCGATGTTGATTCCACTCCATTACCACTGTCGTCATTATGACCACCAAGCCACTAGCCACTTCCTTCTGCCATGACGCTACTCCCCACGAAAGTGCAATTTTTAGTACCCGAATTACCCGCTTTACTCGCTTAGGCACATTCGCGTGTAACTCGAAAAAGGAAACAGGGAAAAACTTGGCAGCCCCAAGGGCCTAGATTCTGAGCAAAAGCAAAAGTAAAGTTGGCACTGTGTTCGATACCCAGTGCGGCGAGAGAGTGGAAATTGCTTGATTAGGGAAGAATGACGCTGGGTGGGTATGGTCTTGGTATAGGAAGAACTTTGGAGTCGAGTCGTCATAGTGGATTTGGCCGATTTCATCGGACACGGCACACTTCCATATGATCAGTCAAATCAAGAGTTGCTATATTTGGTACGCTTCTTTGCTTCGTGGACGTTATGAACAGAAAACTCCATTGGAATACTTGTCAGTTTACATTGCTATGTCATTGGTTACGGAAAACAACATGCTTACCGACCGAGCTTCTTCTATTCGACTTACTGAACCTTATCGAGATTGATGTAAGACCACGGTGTCAGCCGATCGACAAACCATATCATCGCCAGTGCATGATACATTCAAACTCGTACGTCTTCATTAGAGACAACGCTATGCAACGGACCCTACCATGCGTGCTTCTCTAGGCATGGAAATTCTAGTTCGTTTGAACTTCCTAGCCAACGTCTGGATGCTATACCAATTTCCCGTGGCCAGGCCGTGACTATTCAATACTAGTTCTCAAGGCTTACATTACAAGCCACAATGACGCAGTATACTTACCGCTGTCCCGTGCCTGAGTCAGCGGTATTTACTCCGGATACTAGAGCTGATGCTTTGATGACTCAAGTTCGAGAGCATGATTTCTTCCTTTGTGGCCATAAACAACTTGACAAAAGTTCCCAGATAATAGCAACTTAATCATAAGAAGCTGAACAGAGTTGCGTAATGTTGTTAATGTACAACAAAGTCTCGCAACCAAGAGGGGAGTTTCTAAGTGCTATTGCAAGGAGTTTAACCTATTCATAACCACATACTAGCTAAACGGGTATCATGCCGTGTTGGATTACGATCTTCGATTTCTTACTGTGTTACAAAAAGTTAAATGTACCTTCCCGGCCAAACCCGCACACGAGAAAATGGGTTATGACCTCAATTTTCACGCAGAACAATGACCATACGACTCGGCCTCAGAAAGGAAAAACAAAGACCTTGGATTGTGGCACTGCATTAGAATGCTGTGAGACGAGATATCAAACACCGCACATAGATGCCTCGTGTGCTTCGAGAATACCTTGGAAGGGAGGCACAAGTTGACGTGAACGTTGAAAGATGCGGGGTAGGAGAAGGAAGAAGAAACGATGTGTCTGTGTGTAGATTAGATTTCGGTGCATTGTGAGATCAGCAGCCTCACTCCGCGATCGAACTTTACATCTGAGGCGAGTGGTCTCTTATAACTGTCCAGCCTTACCATTACCGGTCTCTGAGTGAATATTTAAACCATCTCATTCCTCTGTCATATTCCTCACAACATAACACTGCTTCGCTTCTGCACCTCTCAAGACACTCCTCTCACCACTGCTACGTACTTTGAGAAGCGATTTGAACAAGTAAGAAATGGCTGTTCTTTCTTTTCCAACTCAGTTATTAACTATGCCACCAGTGCATCTTCTCACCGGTCTCCTTGCAGCAGCAGCTTGCATAAGCAGCGTAGCTGCTGTCCCACAAGCTCCAAAAACTTGTACCTATACCTACCGACTCCAGGAACTCGCAAACCTCCCCCCGGGGTACGGTAAAGACTGGAAGAAGGTGCAGCAAGATCTCTGCACCAAGTTTGGTGCTCGTTGGGACCCAAACAACGGCTTTTGTTATATTTCAAAATCGCTGTCAGACAAAATTTTACATCTTGACGTCCAGCCTGATCCCGATAAACCCGGTCTCAAGCCTATCAATGTCCGAGCCAAGTATATCGATGTCTTTCCCCCCAACTGTAACTGAGAAGAGGATAAGGAGATGTATTCGATAGTTGGCGGTGGATTAAGTTTAGGATTGTTGTATATAAAAAGAAGAATTTGGTATGGTTGGCGTGCTCTGCAAATCTCCTTGTCAAATTCAATGATCTTTGTGTCTTTTGGAACTCTTTCCACCTAGCTGAGGCTATAAATGTCGCAGCCTATGCAAGGCTGCAGAAGCAATGACTTCAGTTGAGTCCAAGCGACAAGCCCCAGTCACTGCCACAAAGATGCATGGACCTTAACAATAAAAAGCAATGGCTATATACCATAGGTAAACGAAGATGGTACATAGCAGAAAATACAGATCAATTTTTCACCGCACCAACGCATGTGACAAGAAAGCTTGACAGCTTGTTACTAGGGTGGCACGCTCGCTAGACAGTCACGTTATGCACTAAGAACAGATGAATTAGAGCCGGTGCAGGTCAACGTTGCACTACTGCAGCCTTTAATAAAAAAGCCTGAGAAGCTCCTAGTAAGGTCTCTTTGTAGACATATACATCATTCCCCAGTTGACTTTTATCGTTACATATTAGTAGGCGATCACTTGACTTAAATTTTAAGCTAGTATTTTACTCTATGGTCTTTACATTCTAAAGGTCCTGCATAAATCTTCTAGATGATCTTTTCCCCCTACAGCATCACGATTCTTACGCTCAGGTATTCTATTACTTTCTTTTGCTTTTGTTTTTAAGGTTTTCAAGCGCATGTACAATCCTATATACTTGCTGCACTGTAATGTGCTGGGTCATCGAATCTGTCTTTTGAGATGGTTCTGTCGTACTCAAAGTAATTAGAGCTAGTCTGACCATTTCATTCCAGATAACGCAATGCGACCCTTGTCTGGACTATGGTTAAACGACAGTCGCTTACAGAATGAGGAATTTAGCGAGGAGAAATTACTTCAAGATACCGGTAGTGTATTAGACCTACCCAAAACTACCAGAAACGAATCTTGCGGCTCATCGTCAGTCTCTATTTCAATTTTGTTACTTAACGGATGCATGATTCTTTTCGCAGTTTATGGATTTCTGCACCTGGCAATCGATATCAAAACAAGATGATATCATATAGTGTGGTAAATAGCTGGCTTGATATTACGTAGACTGAGACCTTGCATGCCCCGGAAAGTTGTATCTTGTTCCGGTTCGTTATAGGTGCTGACGTCCTTAAACAGCCAGGGTGTGCTTAGTCTCCACGAGCAGACTTATGGGAACCACTGCGTCACAAATCAGGGTTCAGGCTAGCTGTTGAGTAGCTCTAGACTGAGTAAATTATACAGGTTTTGCATAGTTGTTCTATTCTACATTTCACCTAGTCATCACGTTCTCACTCACGCTACTGCAGGCTACGACGCCTACTATATCAATATCTAGAAAATATGTAGTTATAGCCATAGAGTATTCATGTAAGATAAGAAATCAATAATAGGCCTCCTCTTATCACGTGATAGAATCAAGCTAAGAGTGTATACAATTCCTATTTATATTAATTGTTAATCCTTCTAAGGCGTATTAAGCTAGTGTCCTAGGGGAACCCTCATTTATGTGTGGTGTATAGCTATTGCTTTTTCTTGTTGAAGCAATGCATCCTTGTTGCCGTTACAGTGGCTTGTTGCTTCAGCTAAGCTGAAGTCATTGCTTCTACAGTCTTGCCTCGGCTGCGACACTTATAGCTTGACAGCGCGTAGACTGCACGGCTTAGGAGTGTTTGCAAACGATTTCTTGTAAGAGATTTGTATATAATTGACTAAAGTTACACCTATTCTAGAAAACTCGTGTGTTGTGCTTGCGTGGTTTTGCCTACTGTAGTAGTATATAAAGTAAGTGATTTTTTTCACCGTGATAGACAAAAGTGCTGGACAAAAGTACAGTATTTGCCTTTACATTCCATCTAGTCCTAATTTTGTAATATTGATTAATAGTTATATTGAGGTCCAGTACCTGTATGTATCTAAAGATAGACTTTGCTTTCCACGTAATAGTGTGTGTCGATAGTGATTTAAACCAGGAACATGGCATCCAACGGATCATCGGCGGACTAGTCGGGTTAATGCCCCTCATCTGGCCCAGCACTCAGGGAGGGACGTTAGTAAGTAGCTAGTTAACTAACTATTATCTAGCTAGGGGGCAGTATTCATAGAACAGGCTATAACATGATCGACCACGCGCTTTTTTTGAGTCAGAGAACAACATGCTAGAAGAGCAAGATGTTACAAACCTGAGGGAAGAGGCACGGCATTTAAGATAAGAACAACGACAGCCAGTCAACCTAGCCATATGTAACGCGGGGTGCATGTCACGTGACCCGTTCGGTGGTGCATGCCTAAGGAATGGGCTTGGCGCACTCCTCGTGCATTGGTCATCGAGGAAACGGCCTCGTACCTAAACCACCGAGGAATGCTCGGGCTCCTCTAGCCGAGGATTACAACCATCATAAATATATAGTAGTAGGCATCGAACCCTTATAGCTCGATGTGTTTAACCTAAGTTACGAGTATATACAAGTTACTTCAGAAACCTTTGTTCATACACTGTTGCTTCATCCGCGAAAACCAACCTCTAGAGTTCTTGACACCGAAGTCTTATATTACTTCACTCAAGGCCCTTACTCTTGACACAAGAGCTGCAGAGTAGATACGCGTTGCACTTAGGAACACTTAGGACAATTTAACAGTCTAATTAGGAGAAAAAGTGTCACATTATACCGTGGTCCCATCATGTAGGGATGGACGTTGCGTTAGGTTAGGATAGAAGTTGCATCCGTTTTTAATAACTCCAAACTTAGTTCCGCCCAAACCAATGATGGAATCACGTTACAGAATAAAGATATATTTAATTGAGTTTGGTTTAAAGACGTTAGTCCTTCTATAACCCTAACCCGAAGGTACTCCTATTAAGAACAGTTCGCTGTTCCATCTGAGAACGGATAGCAACCTAGACAAGAATTAGTGGAGCTAGCCTACATTTCATCATAACTACTACTGTACCATTGAGGTTTTGAACACAGGGATGGTCCTAGATTTGTATTAGAATCTATCCAGCTTACATCTTGTATTATTTTCTTACAGAACGGCAATAATGCGCTAACGTCCCCACATGAGCGTCGCTAATGCATGCTCCGTCAGAGAATTGAGTGATCAACCTCGGATTATTTTTAAACTGATCGGAGTTTCGGTTATAGCAATTCTGTAGTTGTTAAAAGCCATTCTTTAAATACGGGCGGGAGTTTTGGCATACCCAGTTGCCTTGGGCAGTCGCTAAGGAGAGCACAGAAAAAACTGCTGCGATAACGCTTAATTGCATTTTGATTAATATAATGATGGATATTTGGTTAAATGTAGAAGGAAAGAAGTAAGTAACAACGTTATAGTACTATGCAGTTTTTGTATTGGTTTCAGCAAAATATAGGGGATGTCAAGGGGGTAGCAATATTAGAAAAGTTTTTACGGGAATGAAGCTATCTTATTTAATACGAGATCGTGCCGATAGGAACACTACACCCAGGACGGCCCGTGTACTCGTTAAGCACGTAAGTGTCTAGTATACAAGGGCTATCCCGTTTTTATACGGCTAGAGTTTAGAATTAGCAAATAGTCTCTATTTTACCTTAAAAAGCTATATATTACTAAGATAATAAGGTGTAATTAGTTAGTAGATCTATCTCGCTTTATTAGGAGATAATTATTACACATTTTTAGCACTGCTATATATTAAATACTTACGTGCTTAACAAGTAACGGCGTAGGCAAGACTACTTAGATTAGTATCGAACGTAGCGTCACTCAGAGGTATATGGGAGTGCGTGGGACGACAGAGGGCCTTAATTCAAGCAGACGCCTATAGGACTGGCACGAAAGGATATCAAAAGTCTACGGAACAGCTATGTCATCCGTGAAGGTAATTAAATACCTAGTTGCGGAAGTCCTTAAGCATCCTGCAGTAGAGCAGGACATGGCGGACAGTCTGTCGTTTTACCTCGCACTGGCAGCGGGAGCTTGCAGCCCCTAGAACTCTTTGGGTGAAGAGAAAGTCACTCGCCCATCCGAGACATTACGAGAAAATTAGTTGTTTAGTGTTGACTCGTCTAATATCTGTCAAGGAGAGGTAAACATCAGCGGCGGTGTAACACTGACTAGGAAGGAAACTCTAATTAAATGTAGGCCGGGGGAGGACGGATATAAGTATGATGTTATTGTATTGTTTCTAGTTATAACTAGTGATGGCATTAGCGTCTTGATGTAGCGCAAACAGCAGTAGCGGCCAAGGTCGCGTTGCAACAATTAGGCCGAGTATCTCGCCGTGTTGCTTCTACTAAAACTGCAGGCATACGTCACGGCCATTCTTAGTACATAACTATAATAGGTGCGGTGTCATATATAGTACAATGTCGTACGGCGATATTTAAGGGCCTATTTAGTTTCCCGATAGTGACACGACAGATAGTTAAGAGTCTAGAAGAAAAAGCGTCCCGTTATATAGGGATGGACATTATGACGCCGAAGCTGACTAGCACGTGATCTTTAACTTGCTAATAGGACTCCAGAGCTTACACAGCCACAGGGCTTCGAAGCTATAAGCTTGGCGCGGTGAAAATTGCGCTATAGACGGTTCTATACTAGCTACTCGTTACGCACGTAAATATTTAGTATATAGCGGTGCCAAAAATGCGTAATAATTATCTCCTAATAAAGTAAGATAGATCTACTAGCTAATTACAGCTTATTATCATAGTAATATATAGCTTTTTAAGGTAAAATAGAGATTATTTGCTAATTCTAAACCCTAGCCGCATAAAAACGGGATAGCCCTCGTATATCACACTTACGTGCTCAACGAGTATATGCGGAAGCTGCTCGCCGCGGAAGTACCGACAGGGGTGGCGATCACGCATGGATATGAGCGCCATGCCGCACCAAGGGCTGGGATTAGTTCTGCAGCATGGCTGAAGTTTCCCTTAGTGCATACGACTTCATTCTTTAGTATAGTTAGCGTGCCATAGAGCGAGATTGAGGCTATCTGCAGCGGTGTCACTGTTTTTCTTTAGAAAAAGGTGTCTTTAGCGCATTAGATTAGATTTAACAACGACAGTATATTTTTTTTTTATAAGGAGAGGTGTTTACACCTATAGAAGAAGGTAAAAAACATAATCTATCTATGAACATAGTAGAACAAAAACAACACGAGGATAGAGATATCGTGTCCCAAAGATAAAGTGCCCCTCTTTTCTTGCGGCACGGGGGGATTTGCGTGACGCAGGGAGGGACGTTAGTTAGCTGTTCGATTGATTAATTCTATCCTTTCTACTCGATTTCGGCCGTGATCTCTACAGCTATGCCCAGATGACAAACATTGCAGACAGTCGCCGCGATACGGACATAAGCCTGCACCGCCCCATTTCACTCTCGAAAGAGTCATCTGTCCCCAGAGGCCTACCGTTATCTAGCTTCTATCTACGATTTCATATATTTTGTCTCTAGAAGTAACGTCTTTTACCTATATTTATGTTCTGTAAACTGTGTTTCTATATATATGCCGTACTTAAAGCCTTATATATAGTGTTAATTAAGGCTCAAAGAGGCATAGGCGCCTCATGCTTTGCATTCATAATGCTTTCAGTCTCCCCTGTGCCAGCGAGGGGCGTGACAGCTACTCTATAGGTGCCAAATCGACGTGGGAGGACGCGTGATGGCCTACAGAGACCGTTGTGGTTATTGGCGGGTGTATCTCTAGTCCTTCGTGACGATAACCCCAAAAAGTGATATCTCGCTGTCTATCATATTGTTTGCTGATGTTTACCACTGTGATGCTTATCGAGGAGGCTTAGGGCGTCAGGTGACTTTTTATTCCAAACTTATGTATATCTAGCTAGCTCAGTGATTAAAATTATGTTAGCACTGCTGATTGGTGCATCAGATACAGAGGTACCAAGCTATCTAACGATCACGCACAAGTTAGTTTACCAACTAGCGCCTACTACTAGTAAGCAGGCTTTAACGATTGTGTTGAATTACTATGCGTATATAGAAGCGACAGACGCGTTGCGACGGATAGAACTAATAGTAGTAGTCTTATAACTCGTAAGGCGCATTACTAAGATGAAGCAGGTGTCTTCGCACATCTGAAAAGAGATACATGACTGTAATTTTCGTATTTGTGGACATGCATCGACTAAGAATCAACCCCAGTATATACCTGGGTAGGCTAGTATAATTTCTAAGATAGTTATAGGCTATAAAGTTGCTGCAAAGTTAAAGTACCTGTAATTTTGTCCGTTACGGCGGTTGTTCCGTTACAAAGGGATGTACGTTACAATTGTTTTCTTTTATATGGGATTTCCAGGGTATATACGCGTGGAGAAAAAACCATCTAGAAACACATTGATTGATCTACAATGGTGCAGTTTCCCAGTCTCTTTTTGGCCAACCGAGTGGTTCTCGATTCTTTTCCCCTTCCTCCCTGACGAAGACAACATCTCTGTAAGCGTCTCACGGAACCGGAGTGCTGGTGGCGGATTATGCCACAAGTTCGACCTGGAACATCTGGTAGGGAACTGGCCCATGTGTAGTGGCAGGCCAACACGACCTGACGAAGGTTGCTTGCTTCAAGACCATGGTCTGAGCTCTGGCTCGTCGATGACAAGGGATCTCTGGTTCTTAGACGTCGAACCCCTTCATCGCTAAAAAGAAATATTTGAATCTGCGTACGTTCAAATGTCCTCATCCTGGTTGGGAGTTGGCTATTCCCGCTTGGTAAGCGCCAGCAAAATCAAGCTGGCCCAGTTGTCCGTTGATTTGGTCAATCTCCCCGTTCAGATCGTCCAGGTTCTGCACAAGACTTGACACTTCGTCAAATCTGCGATGTTTGGTAGCGTCGGAGACCATCTCTGATACCATAAACTTCTGTTCCTCAAGCACTATCAGTCGTTCTCTGAGCTCCTTCTCCTCTGACTCCATGGCTGACACTTCACTACTACTCACGACACTGCCGGTAGAGCGGTCGTTGTACTTGATCGAGGCCAAAGCGCTGCCTCCGTTTGGACGTCCTTGAGGAGCAGCGTGTTTGAGAATCTTGGGAAGCGACCTCAGGGGTAGCATGTGCAGGCTTAGGAAGCTGTAGGCTTGTTGGTATACGGCCTTTTGTAGTTTTCGCTGCGTGGGCGAGTCGGTCGGCAGGTCGCGTATCCGTTTGGCAGCAACATCAAACTGAGCAAATCCGTCCATAAGCCTTTTGCGGACCTTTGTGGCATCGGTCAGTTGTTGAGGTGTGGGCGACTTGTCTGGATCCTGCAGCGCTTGCAGAAGCTTATGGAAACGAGGGAGAAGCAGCCGAATCCCCCTTTCGAACTGGGCAAGGTTCTCATATGCGCGCTGATCCTTGGGCTTGTTCGCAAGTTCTCGCTCAAAGTCGCTTCTAGCAAACAGAGTGTGTTGACAGTCCTTGCACATGCGCACATCAACGCTAACCTGCCCTGCCTCTTTTTCTGTGTTTTGAGAACTAGACAGAGCAACATTCAGGCCAACTTGTGTCGAACACGCAGTCTTGGGATCGCTACAGACGACACGCCCACACATGCGACAGTGCGATCGCCTAAATGTATAAGTTGAAAACTCCTGCTGGCAAAAGGGGCAGTTCGAGACTTTTGCATCTTCTTCCCAGGTGATGATGGACTGCTCGAGAGACTTGCGCTGATTCTTGGCGCTGGGTAGCGAGAACCAGCTGCCTGAGGCGGGTGTGTCGTCTACGTGCGGTGGGTTTGCGAGGAGCTGTGTGAGCTTGGTCAGGCGCTTCTCCAGACGGCTGACTTCCATGCGTTCCCTGTCTATGTGTTTTTGTCTGATCTTTGCGAACTCATCAAAATGATTGCGCTCCAGGCCGCGGTGATCGTTGTATCCGGCTCTTGACTTGTAGCACGTCTCGCAGACACGGCACCAGATACCTCGCACAGGGTCATGTTTGGCCTGCCGTGACAATTTCATCTGGTACATGGTGTGCTCCTCGCAAAACAGTCTACCACACTGCCTGCAGTTAACGGCGGGCTGACCTCCGCCGAGGGTCATTGGCGAGGCGGTGATGGGGCGGGCGCAAAGGGGGTCTGCGCAGACATCGCGGTATGCGGGTCTCTGCCAGTGCGCGCGGGTAACGTCTTCGTCTGGGTCTCGGCGGACGGGGGCGGGCTCGTAGGCGGCAGCATGGGCGGCGGAGCTGGAGGCCGAGTGGGAGGCGTGGTGAGGGGTATGGGGGGCGTCGTTGGACTCGAAGACATCGAGGCCTTTAAGTTTCTGGTTGAGGACGGCGAGGGGCTGGAACTTCTTGGCCTTGTGCATCTGCGCCTCGAACCAATTCTTGACCTCGTCCTGCTCTTCGACAACCAGGTTCTGGTGCGTGTCGTCGAGGTGTCTAGTGATTCATCGTCAGGGCTGATAGGATAGAGAGGCGCCGCATTTCGGGTACCTGTTAAGCTGCAGCAGCGTGACCTGGACGGTTAGCTGGGCGTTTGGTGGGCCAGCGTTGGGGGACACACCATTTCGTCGCTGCAGATGGGGCAGACGAGCCTGGTCGAGGCACTGGCTTGCGGCGAGGGCATGTTGGCGGCGGCGAGCACTCTGCTGCCAATGTCGTCTCGGGGCTCGGCCGTGGTGGCAGGGCTGTTGGATGTCTGCGAGCTCAGCGATACGGAGCTCTCAGAGGGCGAGAGGAGTAGGTTGGGCGTGGCCGTGATAGTCGTGGCGGCGGCGGCGGCGGGCGACAGGTTTCTCCCGCTCCCCAGCACGCGGCCGCCGCCCAAGGACCTGCGCGAGGCCATGATGGCGAGTGTCGAGGAGAGGCGCCGTCGGGGGGCATGTGGTGTCGAAGGCGGAGTGGGAGTGGAGTCGAGTGAGGTGATGAAGTGGAGTGTATGGCCACTGCGCGCTAGTAGGAGTAATGCATGCCCGCTCCGCCGTCATCCACCCCATCTCCGCGTTGCGCCCTGTCGTCTCCGCAACACCGCAACCGCACCGCATCATGAAAGGCCCTTACCCCGAGATCCAAGGTGGCGGCTCGCTGATCCTGGCCTGGCAGATCCGCAACAAACGCGTCTTGGTCGTCGGCGGCGGCGAGGTGAGTGCTGTCATGTATTGACGACCTGCCAATCTATCTATGTATTGACCATTGACACAAAGTCAAGGTTGCTGCCGGGCGCATCGTGAACGTCCTCAACGCCGACGCCAAAATAACCGTCGTCTCCCCTCGCGAAGGCCTCAACGACGAGGTCGCCTACCGCATCGACCAGGGCCAGGTCGATTATGTCGACCGCAAGTTCGAGCCCTCGGATCTCGACGGTGTCGACATGGTCCTGACTGCCGTGGACGACCCAGAAGCATCGTCGCAGATCTACAAACTGTGCAAGGAGCGGCGCATAGCTGCAAACATCGCAGATGTCCCCCCTGAATGCGACTTTTACTTTGGCAGCGTCCACCGCGACGGGCCTTTGCAAATCATGGTCAGCACCAATGGCAACGGGCCCAAGCTCGCAAACATTGTCAGGAGACAGATCGCCGCCGGTCTCCCTCACAACATTGGCAATGCCGTCCAGAGAGTCGGCATGCTGCGAAAGAAGCTCAGAAAGGTTGCGCCCGGCGTAGAAGAAGGCCCCAAGCGCATGCAGTGGTACGTGACTTGTCCTCGCTGGCCCCCCGTCTGCCTTTTTACTTACCCAGTCCCGTTACAGGATGTCCAAGGTCTGCGAGCAATACTCACTCGACGACCTCTGCGCCATGACTGAAGAGGACATGGAGATGCTGCTGGGCTTCTACAAACCAGGCACTGTTCCCTCGCTAGAAGCAGTCCGCCTCCAAGAGCCAGACGGAGCCTACGACGGGCCTTTTCTGATATGACGGTATTCGGCACGGCGTTTGGTAGACAGTGGTAGGTGCGCATACGGGTTGCGGCAACGCTATTCTCATATTCTTGTATATCAATTGTAGAGTGTCTGGTACTAAAGATTATTTTCCCCCAATCACTCCATCACCAAAGTCACCACCAATCAGGCTGGTTTGGTCCGTGCACTATCCACCCAACTTTGCTCTCCGCATGTCTCACATGCTCGACTCCATCACTGCACGCACTGGCACACTTGCCAATCACCAATACCAATGCTCCTCGAGCAGCGGCCCCCGTATGACACGGTCGACTTCAAAGCGCTTGCCAAGAGCGACAACAACTTTAAGCAGATATGGCAGCGCGCCTCAGGCAAGCTCGACTTTCAGGACCCACATACTGTTCAAGCCTTATCCAAGGCAATTCTGAAATCAGACTTTGGCCTTGAACTTGATGTTCCGAATGACCGCCTCTGCCCACCAATACCGAATCGCTGGAACTATGTCGCCTGGATACAGGGCCTGGTCGACTCTACATCCCCAGACTATTCAAACAAATATGACCCTGGCCGCCACGTACAGGGGCTAGATATAGGAGCTGGTGCCTCCGCCATATACACCATGTTATGCCTGCGATCGCGCCCAAACTGGTCGATGTGCGCTACCGACATTGACAAAAAGAGCTTCGATTCAGCTGCCCGCAACCTTGCTCTCAACAACTTGATGACACGTACAAAGCTTCTTCAAACCACTGCTCTCACCCCTATTATCCCACTGACTGCCCTCGGCATCGCCCATCTCGACTTTACAATATGCAACCCGCCCTTTTTCGCAACCCCTTCTGAAATGCGATCCAGTCTCGCGGGCGAGGGCAAAAGCAGCAAGCCCAACGCCATCTGTACCGGATCTGAAAACGAAATGGTGTCTCCTGGTGGCGACGTTGGTTTCGTGACTGCTATTGTCAATGAAAGTCTGGTGCTTCGAGAAAAGGTCCAATGGTATAGCAGTTTGTTTGGTAAAATGGACAGCGCAAAAGCTATCATCCGTCTGCTAAAACAGCATGGAATTACAAACTGGGCTGTGGGCGTGATCGAGGCAGGAGCAAGCGGTACGAAGCGGTGGATCGTGGCATGGAGTTTCGGGGATTTGCGACCGAGAAATGTATGTCTCTCTCCAATCTTCACCATAAAACTGTTACATTCTTCTTTCACTATCTATTTCATTGTGATATCCACCAATGAATATGAGACTAAACCTTCCACAGAGCCATGCCCGCATAGAAAAGATGGCAAACGAGTACCTCCCCTTTCCAACATGCTATCCTATCACCTTACCTCCCTCCATCGATCCCCAGCAGGCCAAAGACGCCATCACCGCTCAAATGGCCTCGCTTGATCTTCTTAGTTGGACCTGGGAACCCTCTACCTGTACTGGCATTGGCGAGGCGGCGCAAAACGTGTGGAGTCGGTCTTACAGACGCATGTACGAAAAAAGAATGAGGCAGGGGAGCGGTGTTGATGAGATGCAAGGGACTGCAGAAGAGAGCGGAAAAAAGCAAGTTAAGCTGGCGTTTAGAATCAGGGTTGTTGACTTGGCAAGGGAGGTAGTAGTGGAATGGGTCAAGGGACGGGATCAGGTGTTGTGGGAGAGCCTGTGTGGACTTGTGCACAGGCATTTCAAAAAGACGTGAGGCGCCGACATCGTGCGCAGGGACCCCATGTTTTTAGTTTCCGTAATGCTAAGTATATGTGATGCCCATCCATGCATTCATAGCTTCAGTTAGTTTCCGATCATCATCCCATGCTGACCTTATTTATCAACCAGGTCAAGTTCGAGTAGAGCCTTTTCTCAGCCCTCGAAAGCCCCAATTCAAACTCACCATGTGCCTCCCCCAAAATCCCAGGACTCATACAATCGGTCCACTCCAAAACATATCCTTCCCCATCTCCTCCGCCATACCCTTCGCCATCGGCGCCGCATCCCCATCTCCCTTTCTTCCCCCACAAAGTTTATTCTCCTGAGCCGTCCCCTTGTTGCTTCCTTTTCCCCGATTGCCCATGAAAACCCCTCCACCTACCTCTCCCCTCGCAGCTCTGTTGACTCGATGCAACATCCCGCCATGCAAATCCCCCTTCAACTCCTCCACGCGATCCACATCCTCTGTTGTAAACTGAAACGTAGTCCATGCGTGCACTTTGGCTTCTAGCCCGGGCGGCGCGCGGCCTTGCGGAGTGATTACGGGGACTGCGATGTGGCGGTTGAGCAGGGCTGTGTCGCGGTCTGAGGGGGCGGCGGTGTCGCGGTCGAAGCGTGTGGCACCCAAGTCGTGGAGTTCGGCCGTGGGAGTGAAGGGTTTGGTGGCGTTTGTGGCATTGTTGGAGGACATTTCTTGTGGATGGTGTTGGGCGAGTTGACGGACAGTCTTGTTTTCTCTTCTAGTATTTGTTGAGTCTGGATTTAGTCGACAAGTTGGAGACTAGAGGGGATATATAGTGAATGGGCGGGTGTAGAGCTGGGAGTTGGTTGGATGGAGAGGTCACTGCGAGGAAAGAGCAACCTGACTAGTGACTCGGAGTTTGCTTGACTTTTACTTCGATGTTGTTGTGTAATAGGAAGCCTTCTGGCAGGATAGGGTAAAGGTATGTTTCGATGGTCACACCGGTGAGAGAATAATATAGAACAATAGTCACACTGCTGGGGACAGTTGGATAGTATTAGCAATCAATAGAAGTGAGCAGCGCTGTAGGCTAGCTCATAATATAGCCAACATATATGTAGGCAATGAATACTTATACTATTTCTTCAAAGAACCACTTGCAAATCAAGCCCTGTATCTACCGCCTACGCACACTCACCATCCCTCTCCTTACTCTCCTCATCCTCCCACTCCAGCGCCCTCCGCCATTCTTCAGCCCTCTGCCGCTGCACCCTCATATTCTCCACAACACCCGATTTCTCTCTCACCCACCTCTCATACTCGGCCCACTCCCCCTTGCCCACCCTCTTCGCAGTCGTCACACTCCTCCCCGCAGGACACGCATTGAATCCGCCTCCACCCTCCACCCACACCTGCAGCAGCTCCGAGCAAAGAATCTCCGCAATAGCAGCCTGGCCACTTCGAAACAGCAAAAAGATGACGTACCCGTGCATGCTGAACTGCTGCTCGAACACCCCGATTCGATTCAGATAGCTACATATGTCCTCAACGAGATTCATAATGTAGTTTGACGACTGCCGCATCCGGTGCTGGCGGAGTCGACAGTGAGCGTGCCGTGAGTATCCGACTTCAGCTGGGGGGCAGGTAAAAGGTGTGTCGCGGAGGGAAGCAGGGGTATCGAACCAGCGCTGGTGGGCGGCTGTGCAGAAACGGTGAAGGGTTTCTGAGCGCTTTGCAGACCGTGATTTGGCACTATTAGTGGTATGGAGATACTTGCGGTGGCCGGCGCCCGAGGAATCCACTGACACGGGGGGATGCGTCATGTTATCTACGTGCCATGCGTGCTGCGACACGGTGTTTTCGGCGAGGTATTCCTGCACTATGTTGCTGATGGTGAGGTACTGGTTCGGTGTTGGTGGTGTTCCTTGGGTATCTGTTAGAAAGTGAGCGTAGATGGAAGGTTGGTAATGTGCTCGGTCTGAGAGGGCCGTGTATCCGCTTTGGAGCTCTGGGTCGGTTAGGAGTCTAGAGGGTAGATCCCCGGCTATAGCGGCTGTGAATATTGGAGATGCTGAGGCAAGAATTAGTGCACATTCACGCATGTGATGGATCATATTTGTAGTGTCGATTACGGTGCTGTTTGTGTATTTAGGAAGCTCTTGCTTCAGCACTTCAGTAATCAGGGCTTGGTAATGATTAGACTGGAGAAGGTGGTTTATTATCTGCCTCTGGTCAGCGAGAGATTCGGCTCTTGTTCGGACCATTTGGATAGGTTGGTGAACGGGTCCTGGAATAGGAGTGTTGATTTTGGTTGTTTTCATTGAATGGGTATGACTTGTTTGTTGAGTATTCAGAATTCTGTACAAGACGAAAGATTATGCTTGCAATTTTGCTAGGCACTGGGTAAATCAACCCGCCATTATGTATACATTTCATGGTAACGCAGATTGCAGATATGTGACAGTTCAAAGGCTTCTTCCCACATCTTTCATTCAAGAACTCACTTGAAGAACCAATGAAACTGAGTAAATCCTGATAGACGCTCCATGAGTCATGATTATGCAAAGATGGTGAAGAGACATCTCTCAGTGAATAGAGAATACATAGCACATGACAGCGTGCTAGTGTACTGGGGGTCCCGACAAACAATCTTCGGTCACGACTCGGATTTTCCTCGCCAGATTTGTGACATAAAAGTCAGACTCTACTAAGCCAGATGTACTCTAAACAAATTGTTGATGCGTTAAGTGTAGAGGAATGGTAACAAAAGAGCGGGACGTGACGATACTGGTCAAGTGTGGCGTTTGTGGCGGGAGAGGCTACGTACCACTACTAGTGCGTTTGACTCAAGTGCCCCTCCAGACCGTTGATAGAGCCCCTCCAAGCTACACACGAGCTGCATTGTAGCCCACACACACCACTGAGCAGGTAAGTTATGACTCTTAACGCGGATTCCTATGCCTCAAGCATTATCACCACTGGCGGAGATTTTCTGAAAACATCCTGAGCACATCCTTTCAAAACCAGCAAAGACCTAACGCCGCGCAGACATGTCTGAACCTTCAGCTACCGCACCACCGCCCAACGAGGAGGAGAAAGGCCCTTCCAAGCGTGCCCTTGAAAAAGCAGCGAAAAAGGCTGCTGCAAAGGCAAAAAAGGCCGAGCATGCCCTGCGACCCAAAGAGCAGGCAAAGCCCAGTGCAAAGAGCGAGCCGACCAGCATCTTCTCCGAAGGCTGGCTGAAGCGCATTTATGAAGAGAAGCCTGTCGCAGAAGTCCGCACTCGTTTCCCGCCCGAGCCCAATGGCTTCCTTCACATCGGACATGCAAAGGCCATTGCAGTAGACTTTGGTTTCGCAAAACACCATAACGGCAAGTGCTATCTGCGCTACGATGACACCAACCCCGAGAAAGAAGACGAGATATATTTCACGGCAATCCTGGATGTTGTCAAGTGGCTGGGATTTGAGCCCTGGAAAATTACTTACAGCAGCGACAATTTCGACAAGCTGTACGAGCTGGCAGAACAGCTAATTAACAAGGACGGCGCATATGTCTGCCACTGTTCTCGTACGTCTAGCTATTAATAACTGAATGTATCCAATCTGAACATCATACAGGAGAGGAAATCAACAACCAGCGTGGCGGGCCCGACAATCGCGGTAAACGCTATGCCTGTGCCCACCGCACACGACCCATTGAAGAGTCCATCACCGAATTCCGAGCAATGCGCGACGGCAAATACAAGGCTGGAGAGGCATTCCTCCGAATGAAGCAAAAGTTGACGGATCCAGACGAGGGCAACCCGCAGATGTGGGATCTCCCAGCCTACCGCGTTGTAAAGGAAAACTACCACCACAGGACAGGCGACAAGTGGAGAATCTACCCAACATACGACTTTACCCACTGCATCTGTGATGCTCTGGAAGGCATTACTCATTCCATGTGTACTGTTGAATTCCGCCAGTCTCGTGTTTCTTACGACTGGCTGCTGGAGCAACTGGACATGAAGATCCCCAAGTCGGAAGAGAAGGGACCCATGCAAAGAGAGTGAGTGCGCTTGATCCTCTCTGCGTTTTGTATTACTAAGAAAAGCAGATTCGGCCGTCTCAGTGTTGGTGGTACGATTTTGTCGAAGCGACGCATCCTCCAGCTCGTTGAGGGAACAGAGGTTGAAAAGAAGAGCGCCGATGGTACAGTTGAGACGAAGAAGATTCCACCAGCGGTGCGAGGGTGGGATGATCCTCGCCTCTTCACCATGGTCGCTCTCCGTCGCCGCGGTATCCCAGCCAAGGCTATGCTTAACTTTGTTGACGAGCTCGGCGTCACAGATGCGCTCTCTGAAATCGAGCCTCCGCGTTTCGAAGCCTCTATCAGAAAGCATCTGGAGCGAACTGTGCCGCGCCAAATGCTGGTACTTGATCCCATCAAAGTCATCATCGAAGACTTTGCTGCCGAGGACGAGCAGGAGCTTACTGTGCCATACGACCCAAAGGGCACAATTCCAGGAGAGCGAAAAGTCAAGGTTGGCAATGCAGTCTACATAGATCGCACTGACTTCAGAGAAGAAGACAGTGAAGATTACTTCCGCCTAGCACCCAACAAGGCTGTTGGTTTGTACAACGTACCGTTTCCGATCCGCGCTACATCCTTCTCCAAGGACGAAAATGGCAATGTCACCGAGATCAAAGCAGTCAAGGCCCCGGTAACTGAGAAGCCAAAAGCGTATATTCAGTGGGTGGATGTAGCAACTGCTGTCCCTGTCACTGCACGTCTGTACAACTCGCTCTTCAAGACCGAGTCTCCAAACACGTTAGACTGGAAAATGGGAGGCTGGGCGGACGATCTTAACCCGAACTCCGAGATCATCTACAAGAAGGCCGTCATCGAGAAGGGTATCAGAAATCTCATCAGTGAGACTTCATTGGACCTGAGCGGTTCTTCGGACGCTCTTGTCCGTTTCCAGGCACTGCGCACGGCTTACTTCTGCGTTGACATCGACTCGACGGAGACCAATATTGTGCTCAATCAGATTGTGAGCCTTAGGGAGGACAAGGGGAAATAAGAATATGGTACCTCCGTGTTTAAATATAGATCAGAGCTCCAAGCGCAGTGGGCGTATAATCGGGAGGCGTTGCGGCAGTGAAAGAAATAACTCCGCTGCTCAGGATGCCTGTTTTTTTTGAGGCTATTGGTTAGAAATCACCACACTGTTGCCTCCACATCCTCTTCCTTGCACTTCTTGTCAAATCAAGTCGTTCCTAGAGATTAGTATACATTTGCAATGCTGCTTCAACTTCAGCGTATATCCACAAATGTGTGGGGGCCAAAAGGGGGAGCAGCAGTATCATTGGCTTGACACCGCGACTAGCTCTGCTGCGTCAGCTTGGCCACTGGCTGCGACGCCTGTCTACAGCCGTCTAGCCACTTCCCAAATTGTTGTTTAACGGAAATTTTTTCCTAAAAAGATCTCAGTTCTGCAAAAATGGTGCCATCCTTCGTGACCAGTTGAACTGCATCACCATCAGTCATGTTGTTCAGCTACGCGCATCACGCTACTATTCCATGGAGAGGTGGTAGAAATCATTCGAATACACAACGTGCAGGCTTTAAAGTTAGTTGACACTAGTCGCAGACTTGTTTGTTTGTTTTTTTCAAAAAAAAAACCAGTTCAAGAACACCACAATTTACAGCATTCCCTTTGTGACGTGAATTGTGCCCTAAAGTTCCGTGGGTGGGTGAAGCTTGGGTTCGGGTCGTTTCGAGGTTGCATTGTGCATTTGAACTATTCTCCAATCACAAGACAACTTACATGCCTTCCATGCCTGCCCCGCTGCCATAATCAACCGGATGTTTAGATAATCTATTGTTGCCACGAATACGACCCGTCTCTCATCATCCCTAATGATTCTTGCCGAAAATATCAGATCCAGGGTTTCGCGCATCATCTTGGCCAAGGGAACGACTGGACATCGACTGAAGGTAGCCGTCTTAGGGACCACCTCCACACCGACTTTACCTTATTATTTTTTATTGTACTTTGGGTCATGTCTTTCCTTGTAACTGGATAGAGTATCTCCTTCCATAATGGTAGATGCACCAAATTCGTCAAAAAACAGTAGCCCGAATTTGGCCAGTCCTTCCTCACCGCCAGACCAACTGCAGAGCAGAGATAATTCAGTCACAACCATGACGCGACAGTACGAATTTTTCGTGACGACGACCAAGCCACATCTGCCAAACGGAGCTGAACGGGGCATGATTCGTCGACTAGTCATGCGCAACTTCTTCGATACGAAAACAAGTGCGCCGCAGGCGGATATTCCAGAGCAAAGCTCAGCAACCACCGTCATGACAAGAAATCAATTAAACAGTCGGTTTCGGATCCAAAGATTGAAAAATGACAACGCGATCAAAGGTGGAAAACTGGTGTCAAAGAATGGAAAAAGCAAAAGCAAGGGGAAAAGACGTTCGTCGCCCATACATACGACAGAGGGCTACGTCATAGATCAAATATCAGGAAAAGAACATTCTACGGCGAAAAATGCAAAAGAAAGATTGAGAGAGGGAACAGTCGAATTGGCATTGAAGATTCACAAGTTACGGATAGATCCAAGTGCTCACCGTATTGATCCGTTTGACATCTTGCCGATACCAGGGACGCCACATTTCGATATGTTATTTCAACTATGTACGTGGGGCGTGGAAGAAGACCTCCCTCCAGGGGGGTGCATATCGAAGTCAACCTTTTACGCTGACATTCTCTCAGACAAAGGCGCACCTAAAACCAATTCAATTGCTATTGACGCCAAGAATACATGGCCAACCTGGGCCATCCATGACGCTGGCCTTTTGCATGCTACACTAGCAACGTGGGCAATATATGGAGTGCTCGCGAAGGGTCTTAGCGAGCTACATTGTTGTCATCTCAAGCACAAGAGTGACGCCATCAACGCTATTAGTTCAAAGCTCATGGAGCCTAATGGAGTCGTTTCAGACGAGGTTATTGGTACTGTCTTGACACTTGCAAGTTTTGAGGTGGGAATTCATTTTCAATTTTGGTTACTGTACATCTGCTGACTATAGCTAGAATCTTCTCGGAGCATACGATACTGCTCAAATGCATTTAATGGCTCTAAATCAAATGTTGACCGCGAGAGGTGGATTATTCGCAATTGGGCACAACGATGGCTTGCTGCGCGGCATTTTATGGTGAGCTCCCAGTACACACGAGAATCGATTCGGTTGCTGAGACGGTCATTGCTAGGGCAGATTTCCATACTGCTGCGGCCTTCCGGACACCGCCTTCATTTCCGCTTGTGTGCCTTGATCCAGATGCACCTCTCCTTCCTGACGAACTCATGGAAGAAGCAGCGTACACTTCGCCCACATCGATGCTTCAGTTATCTCTTGCAGCGACAGAGTGTTTCAATATTTTTTACCGGTTACACCGAATCGCCCTAGCAATGTCCTCCCATTGGTCTGGAAAGGTCTCCCGACTCACGCTCAGCAACCTCCTCTACGATATGCAATACATTGTTCTCTCTGTCCCCGATCGATCGCGCGACTTTATCGAGTTTGACAGAGAAGTCCAAGCTGGCAGAAACGAAGGCGAAGAGAACCAAAGAAAGAGAGCAGATGCAGCAAGTGTGGTTGAGGGTCTTCTCGCTGCAACACTGATCTTTGTATATACTGCCTTACGGGGACTGCCAGCCAATGCGAAGATCTTTGTCGTTCTCCTGGGTCGGCTGCGCATCGCCATCGATCGACCCGCAACTTCAGCCGTAGAGGTATGGGGACGCGAAAAGAACTTGAAGATGCTGGTCTGGGTGTTGGTGGTGGCATGTTCGGTCGTGACATCAGATGATGATCGTGCTTGGTGGATTTTGAAGCTTTCTGACGTGTGTGGTATACTGGGGATTGAACGCCAGGCTGAGCTGGAAGATATCATGCAACATATAGCCTGGATTGATGTATTCTTCGATCGTAAACTAGGGAAGATATGGGAAGATAGGACAAGGTAGTTGGTCACAGTGATAGACTGGTTGGTCGCAACTACGAAGGAAGATACGCAGGGCGATATGCAAGGTTGGGCACCTGCCCATCTTCGACATGCAGATGCCACATCTAGCTGTGGTGCGTGCGAGATGGAGGCGGTGTGAGATATATCAAAAATCTCAATCAAAGTATCCTGTTATATCCGTGTTAAGTAGTTTTGAGTGAACGCACAGCGAGTACAAGTATTGACAGCAGGGCGCGTTTCGCACTAGTCCGTATCTGGCATCTAGTGGTGAAGTTCCCCAACACGTGGGGGGTCGGGAAAACTAGTGCCGACGCCCACGCGATGGCGATGGCGGCGGGCATTAAACTCGGATTTGAAAGACTGACGTTCGTTTGGACACGACACCACCAACGATGGCGCCGCTTGTCGACAACCCCCAGATCAAGCAGGCCAGCCTGCACAACCCACTGCCATTGCAGCTGCACACTTACATTTGGCCCTTTCTGATAGTATGGCCAGCCTTCTCGGCCATATACTTTTCGCCCCAGCGCTACGAACAATACATCCAGTCGTCGGAATGGACTTTTGTCTGGATTGCCACCATCACCACTTTCCAGTCGCTGTTCTGGCTCATGACGCACTGGAATGTCAACCTCAAGAGCGCCTTCACTACCACCTCGGCCAGCGACGTGCGCAGTGCCCAGCTTATCAAAGTGCAACCTATCAAGAACGCCGGCGCTGCCGAGATTGTCAAGTTGATCCGCGACAACGTTGGCGGGAAGCCCAACATTTCCTTCCTCTTTCAAAAGCGACGTTTCCTCTACGACGCCGATAAGGGCTCCTTCGCCCCACTCGCTTACGCCCTCGATACCGAGCCCAAGCCGCAGCTCAAGACATTCCAGCAGGCACAGGGCCTCACCTCCCCCGCCGAGATCGAGCGCCTGCAGCAGCACTATGGCGACAATGCATTCGATATCCCCGTCCCCACATTTACCGAGCTGTTCAAGGAACATGCTGTCGCTCCGTTCTTCGTCTTCCAGGTTTTCTGCGTTGGGCTGTGGATGCTTGATGAATACTGGTACTACTCCATCTTCACACTCTTCATGTTGGTTGTTTTCGAGAGCACCGTTGTGTGGCAGAGACAAAGAACACTGAATGAGTTCCGTGGAATGAGCATCAAGCCTTATGAGATTTTGGTGTACAGGCAGAAGCAATGGCAAGAGATTATGAGCGACAAGCTGCTTCCGGGCGATGTTGTCAGCGTGGGCAGGACCAAGGAAGATTCTGGCGTCGCATGCGACATGCTGCTACTCGAAGGCTCGGCTATCGTTAACGAGGCTATGCTGTCAGGAGAGAGTACTCCTGTGCTCAAGGAATCAGTACAACTGCGACCTGGCGATGCGCGCATCGAGCCCGAGGGTCTGGATAAGAACTCGTTCCTCTGGGGTGGCACCAAGGTTCTTCAAGTCTCACATGGAAGCAACGTTGAGGAAGATGGCGCTGTTGTCCCGAAACTCGCATCTGGTGTCCCTCCACCGCCGGACAAGGGCGCTGTTGCTGTCGTCGTCAAGACTGGATTCGAGACCAACCAAGGAAGCCTTGTCAGGACCATGATCTTCGCTACCGAGCGTGTTTCCGCCAACAATGTCGAAGCCCTCTTCTTCATCCTCTTCCTTACCGTCTTCGCTGTCGCTGCCTCGTGGTACGTGTGGCAAGAGGGTGTCAGGCTAGACCGCCAGCGCAATAAGCTCCTCCTCGACTGTGTTCTCATAGTTACGAGTGTCGTACCTCCGGAACTTCCCATGGAACTCAGTTTGGCTGTCAACACTTCTCTCGCTGCGCTCAGCAAGTATGCCATCTTTTGTACCGAGCCGTTCCGTATTCCCTTTGCTGGTCAGGTCGATGTGGCTTGTTTCGACAAGACTGGTACTCTGACTGGTGAAGATCTGGTTGTTGACGGCATTGCTGGACTGTCCCTGGGACAGAGTGGCGCTACGGTCGCGCCAGATGGTGCACACACAGATCTCGCAAAGGTTACAGATGTTGGCACCGAGACTACATTGGTACTTGCTTCTGCTCACGCCCTGGTCAAACTTGACGATGGCGAGACCGTGGGTGAGCCCATGGAAAAGGCTACCCTTCAATCCCTCGGATGGAAGCTTGGAGCCAAAGATACCCTTCAAGCGACAACGACCACAGCCAGATCTCACGCCGAACTCGTTCAAATTCGCCGTCGTTTCCAATTCTCATCCGCCCTCAAACGCCAGAGTTCCGTAGCTACTGTTCTTGTCAACAACAACAAGACTGGACGCAAGGTCAAGAGCACAATCGCTGCAGTCAAGGGTGCGCCCGAAACCATCCGCAAGATGTTGGTTAATACGCCTCCACACTACGAGGAAACCTTCAAACACTTTACCCGTAATGGCGGTCGTGTACTAGCCCTAGCATACAAGTTCCTATCTGACGACGGAGAATGGGGCCAGAATCGGATCAACGACCTCAAGCGTGAGCAGGTTGAATCTGACCTACACTTTGCCGGCTTCCTTGTACTTCAATGTCCTCTCAAGCCTGACGCTATCGAGGCTGTTCGCTCCCTGAACGAGTCCAGCCACCGTGTTGTCATGATTACCGGTGATAATCCCCTTACTGCCGTTCACGTCGCTAAGCAGGTTGAGATCGTTGATCGTGAATGCTATATCCTTGATGCACCTGAAAACGACGATTCTGGCGAGAAGCTTGTCTGGCGTAGCGTCGACGACAAGCTTAGTATTCCTGTTGACCCGACTAAGCCGCTGGACGATGAGATCTTGAAAACTAAAGATATCTGTCTTACTGGATATGCGCTTTCTAAATTCACCGGCCAGCCTGGATGGAACCAAATCCTGCGATATACTTGGGTCTACGCCCGTGTTTCACCGAAGCAAAAGGAGGAGATTCTTCTTGGTCTCAAGGATCGTGGTTACACTACTCTCATGGCTGGTGATGGTACCAACGATGTCGGTGCTTTGAAGCAGGCTCATATCGGTGTTGCCCTTCTCAACGGTACCCGTGAGGATCTCGACAAGATTGGCGAACATTTCCGCAACACGCAGATGAAGAATGTCTATGAGAAGCAGTGCAATCTTATGCAGCGCTTCAACCAGCCTCAACCTCCTGTCCCGATCATGATCGCTCATCTGTACCCGCCAGGCCCAACCAACCCGCATTACGAGAAGGCAATGGAGGCTCAAGCCAAGAAAAAGGGTCTTCTCCCTGCCGGCAATGGATCAGCTTCCACTGAACAGCCTGGTCAGGTCCAACCTGCTCAAACTGCTACCAACTTTGCCCAACAAATGCAGGAAAAGATGATGGCCCAAGAAATGGAAGAACTTGCCGGTGAGCCTCCGACCATTAAGCTTGGTGATGCCTCTGTCGCGGCACCTTTTACTTCCAAGCTTGCCAATGTCGTCGCCATCCCCAACATCATCCGTCAAGGTCGCTGCACGCTTGTTGCCACAATTCAGATGTACAAGATCCTTGCTCTCAACTGTTTGATCTCTGCCTACAGTTTATCAGTCCTCTACCTCGATGGTATCAAATTTGGCGATGGTCAAGTCACTATCTCAGGAATGATGATGAGCGTTTGTTTCCTGTCCATTTCTCGCGCAAAGACAGTTGAGGCTCTGTCAAAGGAACGCCCACAGTCCAATATCTTCAACACATACATTATTGGATCCGTGTTGGGCCAGTTTGCCATTCATATCATCACCCTCATCTACGTCAGCCAATATGTGCAACGTGTTGAGCCCAAGGATCCCAACCCAGATTTGGAAAAGGAGTTTGAGCCATCGCTCCTCAACTCGGCCATCTACCTGCTTCAGCTCATTCAGCAAATTTCCACCTTTGCCATCAACTACCAGGGCCGTCCTTTCCGTGAGTCTATCCGCGAAAATAAGGGCATGTACTGGGGTCTTGTTTCTGTTTCTGGTGTCGCATTCTCGTGCGCTACCGAATTCATTCCGGAGCTGAATGAGAAGCTTAAGTTGGTTCCGTTCACCACCGACTTCAAGATCATGATCACTACCATTATGGCTTTTGACTTTGTCGCTTGTTACATCATTGAGAAGAGCCTCAAATTCTTCTTCTCGGATAACAAGCCCAAGGATATTGCTGTTAGGCGTCCAGATCAGCTGGAGAGGGAGATTGCAAGGAAGAAGGAAGAGGAGTTGCAGGCGCAGAGGAAGAAGAACGAGGAGGCGGTTGCAATGGCTCATGCCAAGGGGTTGATTAAGCAGTAGACGATGGCAAGGGTAGAGTCGTACTAGGTTAATCTAACTAGGTAATATACAAGCATAAATGTCATTTTATCCGCTCAAATGTTGATTTTAACAACTCATGACTTGATCTGATGATGTCAAGGGTCGTTATTCGCACTAACACGCAACGAAACGCATTGCTCTGTATACGCCAATTATCCCTTACTTGCGCGGCTCACAAACTACAAGAAAAGGATGAACGGCAGCTACATCAAGTCAGCACATGGTCTCTGAAAACAAGACCAGGTCAGCATCAAACTTACCACTAACAAATAGCCGTCCAGTCTTGACATCGTGTCGCACCGTCGTACTCCCACTCAAAACCTTGGACGCCTTATCCTCGATCACCTTCTCAACCTTGTACTCCCTGCTCTTTATGCCCTCATCCACCGTCTTGCGAATGCGCCAGATAGTCACGGGCGAAATCTCGTTATACGGATCGGAAAACGACTTGCCTGTTTGTGCCAAGTTTGGGAACCCGGGCACGTACAAGTCGCCGTTGGCGTCTGGCGAAATGTTGTCGAGCGGCATGCCGACGTGGATAGTGTCGAGCAGACGGAGCGTGTTGTTGTTTTGGGGTTCGAGAGCAAAGACGCGGATTTGGCCGTCAATGGCGCTAGGGACATAAAAGAGGCCATCGGCACCGCGGGTGAGACCGTTGGGAAACTTGAGGTCGGGTCTGGGGATGACGAAACTTAGGGCGCGTTTAAGATGAGGCATGTAGGAGGGTAAGTCTGGCGTGGTTGGTTTGAGAGTTGATTCGTCGACTTCATTGCCCGAGTAGGCAGGGTGGCAGAGTCCTGTGCCAGAGCAGTATGCGACGTTTCCGCCGCCGATGAAGTAGTCGAATTCTCGGCGCTAGGGTTTTTTCTGTTAGCCTTTTGTTTGGTGTGCACAGGTCTTCTACGTGCTAGGCTGGGGGGTTCGAACTTACCAAGCCGAGTTTTACGGAGTGGTCGTTGGTCACGAGAAAGGCACCAGATCCATCGCCTAACGCTGCAACTCGGTTCGGGGTCCAAATTTCACTCGAGAAGACGGTGCGGACATGGCGCATGGTTTCTTGACCTTTCTTCATTTCGAAAACCTCGATGGTGGAGTTATCTCCCGTCTTGAATGCGTCGATGACGTCGTTGGATGGTCCGACGGGAGGGCGCTGGTTAACAAAATAGAATTGGATAGTGCTGTCGTCCAAGATGAGAGCGTCAAACCCGAGGAGGTCGAGATCCATGTTACCCGTGGCCCCTCTATAATTGCCGGATGGGTTGATAGAACGGAGATTGAAGAGACCATCCGCTCCAGGATTATCAATGTCTAGAGCGATGAGTTCAGAGCCCCCAGCCCGACGTCCAGTTACATTGACTTGATTCATCCTGCTTCATGTCAGTCCTGATTTCAAGCTATAATCTGGTTTTGCAGCTGAAAATTGTGTGACCTACGCCTGGTTCCAAGCCATTCTTCCCGAAGTTCCTGCGCATGCCGCATACAACGTGCGTCCCTTATCGTCAAGCCACATGTCCTCGCAGGCCTCCAGCCTAGGATGCTCGACACGCCTGCAAGAATACGGAAACTCGTCTATATCTTGCATCACCCGACCAACACCGAAAGTAACCACCAGAAGATCTTTGAGGTAAATTTGATAAAAGGATGCTCCCCACGCTACTACGAGTGCGAGGAGCACCGCCTTGCTCATGAAAGCCATTTTCTGTTTCACCGGATGTGGAGAAGAAATGAGGGGGGAAGTGGGAGGAAGGAAAAAAAAGGGAAAGGCTGAGGTGATATTGGACGCTGAGACCTAGAGAGCTGGGCGAAAGTTCAACGCTGTTACCTAGGGAGTTACAGCTATGTCGGGAGGCTGTACATAAGCGGCCAACGCCTCAGCCCCATCAGACCCTTGTGTGACCCACACCTCGTACATGGGGGCCAAAGCGCCTATTAGGAATATGGTCTATGGTTCCCTTATACGCGTCATGTGACTCGACAAAGGTTATTGCTTGTAATAATGAGAGAGTAGACGGAGATAAAAGATGACGGTGCTCGTTGCTGATGATGCCTGACGTCACATGGTCGCTGCGACATCTCCCGAGGTCGGTTCCGCTAACGCGAGGCGACGTCCAAACACAAAGTCTTTAACACTCGACAACAGCAGCCAGATTACAGTTGTAAATCTCCAAAATGACCAGGTCGGCATCTTTCGACGTTATAGGTACTTGTTTCGGGTTCTCTGCTCCAATCCAAGCCATCCACTCCCGTCTGGGCCCGAAACTCAAGACTGCCGAGGTGGATGCAAAAGCGCTCTTCTTTTCCTGGTTCTACGCTGCGCAGCGCGACTTTACATATGTCTCCATGAACGGATCCTACGTGCCAATTGCACAAATACTAAAATCGACTCTCCGGCGCGCGTGCGCTGTAGTTGATCTACCCACCGATGCTGTCACCGATGAAGATGTAGAGGAGACCATGAAGGCATTCAGAAGCATGGGGCCAAGAGAAGGCCTCAAGAAATGTTTCGATGGGTTGAGGGAAGCTGGGTGGGAAGTTTATGGAGTGACCAATGGCGGATCAGAGACGTCGCTGAATTACTACCACAACGCGGGTATTGAGCTCGACGCCGACCATCTGCTGAGCTGCGATGCGATCCAAGTTGCAAAGCCCGATGTCCGGGTTTATGAGAACGCCAATCAACATATATCTAGGAGATTGCAAGGAAATGAAGAAGGGGAGAGGTGGTTTGTTGCAGCGCATGCGTGGGATCTGATTGCAGCGAGGAAGGCGGGGTTCAAGACTGCCTACCTTACATTCGAGGAACACGACCCGTGTACCGATGTGTTTGGCGAGTTTGACTTGTATGCGTCCAGCATGGATGAGTTGCTGCGTAAGCTGAAAGGGCTCAAGTGAAGAGCGCATTGAGAGTCACGGATAATCCAAATGAGCAAAATGAACACTTTTTTGCACAAGATGCGTTGCGCGAGAAGAGACCAGTCAATGTAACATTGAAAGCCAAAAAGGATGAAACTATACAGCTTAGATGAGGCATGTTGATCAGCACGCTGACTAAAGCTAAACAAGAGTGACTTATTTTCATTTGCAAGCTACCGTGCCATGACCGAGATGTCACTGTCAAGTAACAGCATAGTGAGGTGGAAAAATGTGAAGCTGGAAATTTCGGAGGCTAGTAAATCATAATGGAATGGTGCAATCCCTTCTGAAAGGGCGTTAATGCCAGATGACAAGTCCTCCTGGTTGCTGGACTCAGGAGACGTACGCCGAGCAGTTGCAGTTAAGCGGGATGGCTGCGCACCGCCCCTTTTATGCAGACCGGCATAATGGTGAAGGCCCTTGGATGACTGGCGAGCACTAGACTATAAGGTTGAAGCGAAGTCATGCGGCGGTTTCCGGTAGGTACGCCTGGCGCCGTTTGTTGGGCGCGCTGCTGCCGTTGACACTCGATGCAAGCAGCAACTGCGGTCGCGGGTTTGGCTGCGAATCCCTCTGCACCGAGTATATTTGTTGGTTTATTCTCGAACTTGCCATCAAACCTAGTACCTATGGTACAGTAGACTGACGGCGCACCCGTGCGTCTATTGAGGGCCCCATTCGGCATCAACTAAGAATGGGGAGCAGGGTTGTCGTCCCTAGAGATTCGTCTCTTTGTGATTAATGCTCCTGTCTACTGCCTGGGGCACTACCGCTTGAATAGTAACGTGACAAGGCAAGCTTACTTGCATTGTTACGGTTTCTACGCCAGGTTGATGCTGGCGACTATAGCACTAGAGGTAGGCCAGGCAGTAGACAGAGGATGCAGATTAAGTTTGGTCATCTTCGTTTTGCTCTTTGATCCATGGTTCGAATCGTATCGGTGTGACATTTCTATAATTTTTTTTGCAGTATTAATTTCACACGGCAGGCACGCTGCGAGCAAGCAACGACCCAACACCTCGCTCACGTTCATACATGTGATGCACACCAACCCGCAGAATCTTATCGCAATTAACCCCTCCACCCCTTCTTAACTTTTTCCCCTCTACCACCAACTTGTATCCCCACGCCTGCCGTTCCCAGCTCGCCTAGTACCGCACTAGTATCCGCGATACACTCGCCATAAGCGACTGCTTAGCAGTAAAGCAGGTAGCCTTATCCTGCCTCTCAGCCCTCATCCCTTCCCCCGTTATACCACTGATCAGGCCTAAACTAACATCTAGAGCTGATATCCACGGCCTCTTTCTCAGAGGGCCTATATAAGAATTAGACTAAACTTAGTAGCTAAAGCATTTCTAAATTGTTAGGTATTAATTCCTATAGGTAAATTTCTAAGATTTTAGGTTTATATCTAGAACCTCTCTAACGTAGGTTAGCCTTAATACCTAGTGTAACATATGTAGTCCCTGTCGTAATATCTATTATATATTTTTCATTCCAATATAGCTAACCGGATTTCTGTTTCGCCATGCCTTATTAGCCCGATAGTTGCTCAGGCAACTACTTATATAGATAGCTATATAGCTTAGAAGCTTAGCTCTCTATTAAATACAACCTCTTGTATACCTCGCGATTACTCCCCGGAGCGCAGCCCCTTACAATAATAATACGTACTATAGACATAGATCCCTATCCGCCCGTGCGTACGACTCTTAACCAGTCTCTCACGGCCACGCCGTGACACGTATTATTAAGTACTTAAAAATACACCAAGATAGTTATTTTTCTTGTATTCTATTATTGAAGTTTGCCCTAGCTCGCCATTCTTCGCAGTAGTAGAGTAATAAGGCACTATTTTAGTAAGAAATCGACTTTTTCGTTCAACTTACACGAAAGTTAGAACTATTTTTCCTTAGACGCTGCGCGGCATAAGTAGCGATAAAAAATTATGTCAGCGGGCCTGTGCGCACCCTCTAACTTATCTCACTAGTCAGACGCTGCGCTGTATCCACGTGATAACTCAAGCACGTGATAGCATAAGCTCGTGCTAGCTTACGAGTAAGAGTTGAGCGCAGCGTCTGAGGAAATTTGGTTCTAGCTTTGGTGAGAGTAGAACGAAAAAGTCGATTTCTCACTAAAACAGTGCCTTATTACTCCACCACTACGAAGAATAGCGAGCTGCGGCAAACTTATATAATAGAATATAAGAAAAATAACCACCTTAGCATATTTTTAAGTATTTAATAATACGCGTTGCATGCAAAGTGTCCTCTAGAAAAATAGGGGCACTTGCTCTTTTTTAAGCGTTTTTACGCTAAGAACGCCCTTTTTAATAGAGAAATGTAAAAAAACCTAGCACAATATATCTATTATATAGTAAATATCTACCTCCTACAGCGTGTTATCTAATATCTAATAGTGGTGGTGGAGATGTATCGTGAGGGAGAGAAGAAGCCAGCTGTTACTAAAATCGTGTTCTAGCACCACTAAAGCACGAACCATTTCTCCTCAGACGCTGTACGGTGTAAGGGGCTGCGCTCCGTGGAGCAATCGCTTGGTATACAAGAGGTTGTATTTGATGGAGAGCTATCTACGTC